GCAAAGCAGGAAACTTGGGGGATGGATCCAAAAGTTTGGAGTACAATAATCATTCAGTTGGGCTTAAACTGGCTTTTAGAAGAGATATGTGCTCCAAAAGGTCTAGCAGAAGCCTTGTTTACATTCCGACAGGTAGAGGAAAGTCTTAAGTTTACTTTTAAAAAAGCAAGTTGTATTTCAATTTTTGTTGAGGTTGACATTCTATTTTTCAGCTGTTATTTTCCACAAAAATGGTTTAAACATAAAATTTTCTCCAATATCATGGCTATGAATGTGGCCTCTCCATAAAGTGTTAGTACAAAAAGACACAGATACTGGTGTCCTCTTTTTTTTCCTCACTCCTCTATTGAATTATGAAAAGACATCTTTATAGTAAAAGGAATAGAAAGTAGAAAGGTTGTCTAACTTTGACCAGTATCTGAAGGTACATTGTCTCTATTTTAACATTGAACATCCACACTTATTAAGGAGACTGCTGAAGTGTCTATGTATACTGCATAGGACACAATTGGACATGAATTGGAAATGAAAATACACATCACATTGCATGGCTAAGTAGAATTTCCAGTGATTTCTTCTGGATATTCCAGTGTATTCCTATTCTGCGTTTTAAAACAGGTTTCTAGAAGACAAATTATTGCTTTGATCTAAACAAACACAGTAACTGTACACCAGATGAAAAAAATATATATTTTGAGCAACTGTGCAATAGGGAACAAGGACCAAAAGGTTCTAAATGGTTGGACTTGATGAACTTTGAGTTCTCTTCCAACCATAATGATTCTATGATTCTATGATTCTATAAATAGGTTCTTCCAACTTCTGTGAATGGCATGTAATAAAGATGTATCTCTAGATTCAGAAACTGCACATAAGACTGTAAGAACTGCTGAGCTGGATATGTAATGATGTCATTTGGAATGAATGAAGGAGGCCATCAGAAAACATGAGTCTTCTACATCAGGGGACCTGAAGCTCCAGAAACAATTGTGTAAGAAAATTTGCGGTTGTCATTCTTTTTTCTTTCTCTGAGAGAAGGGTGAGAACCATAGCTTAGAGATTACCCTCCCATCAGTTCCAGGTGTCTCCACTGCACTGAAGATGTATCTTATGCCATTTCTGCTGGGACTGTAGCTGCTGCTGTTGGACCAATTGCAAAGTCCAAAAAGCTATTGTAACTCACACGATATTTGACAGATGACACTGTGTGCTATTAGGCTAAGGATAAAATACAGTATAACTTCTACTCTGGCAAAGAATTTGTTGCCTTGATCTTACGGGTACTCACCACCCAACTTTTTTGAGACAAAATATCACAGACTGTCAAAAGAAGTAAAAGATCTTTAAACCATAGCCTTTGAAGAAATACTGCATAGTTGTTTTGCCATTTAGGCCTGCCTCTTCAAAGAAAGAGAATTGTTCAGTTTAAATGCTGTCTTAAGTGAATTAATTCGATCAAATGTAAACTTTTGCAGTGAAGTCATCAAGGTTTGTGGTAATCATGTAGAAACACATTCATTGGAAACACATAATGTAAATATCTATGTTGAAATTATTAACATAGTGTATCTAAAGCGAATGCAGAGAAAAATGCACTTTTAAGGGACAGTTCTTGCCTATTATAACTTTTGTTAAGAAGAGGTGACTCCTGTTATAAACCCCATAGGTATGTACTGAATGCATCTATTGATGTATACATTGACTAGCTTAAAGTTATGACATATCTGCAATGATGACATCTATTTTTAGTTAAATAATTCCACACCTACGTTCCTTTTACTGTCTATGAAGAGTAACAGGCACTTATGCACAAGGACGAATCATCTGTCCCTAAGAAAGGCCTTGTCACATCCATTCACTACAAAGGGAATCTGGACTGAGTTTGTCATATAAATTGTTGTACTGTAGGCTTGTAAAGTTTAGAGTAGAGGAATCCCATCTCTTTGGTCGTAAGTCAGTGATGAACATGTACGAAAAATAATCATGACAATATTTCAAATAGAAGGATAAAGAGCAAACCGTGAAGATACAGGTTGTCATTAGTAATGAGATGCTTAATATATCTCATGTTTAATAAATCAAAGTAACTATTTTATCACAAAGATGCTAAACATAGTTAACATGATTTTCAGGAACCTCAGTAATCTCCCTGACAGATACATATCTTTTCCAAAAGCTTAATTAGGTGTGTATGATCACTTTCAAAGACTGAGGTAACACCTAAACACAGTAATTGATTACAGCTCTTTAATTATCCCATGCAAGTTTTTTGGGGCTCCTGTTTAGGCTGAACTCTTCTTGCTATTGACTAGGTAGAGGATTTCACCTTAGACAGTTGTCGGTCTGCCATTTTCTGAAACACTGCACTTCCTTAATAGGAAATTTGTTTCTCTGCAAAGGCCCAACATGAAGTCTTTGCTGCATCAGGTTGTAGATTAAGTACCGAACTTCATATTTCAAACCATCTCCTCCCAAATGTAGGTCCTAGTTTTACCTAACTGTTCTTACGTCAAGCTTCGCTCAAGGTAGAATATGAATCTGCTGACTGTTCTATTCTCTATTTCTTCTATCTGCTTTTGCATCAAGTCAGTCTGTTGACGGAATCTTTTGAGTATCTTCATTGGTCTATTTCTTAAATACCTTGAGGAGATGTAAAATCACAGAGAAAATTTATTTTCATGTTTTAAATGGTTTTTTTTCTAGTTAAAAAACAACAAAATATGCAGTTATAAGTTACAAAACCCTTTTTCCTTAATGGTGTCAAAGATAAATA